CTTGGTATCATCTGCACATTTGCTAAAGGTATTCTCAATCCCATTATATAAATCATTAATGAAAATGTTGAACAATACCAGACCCAGGAAAGAGCCCTGGGGAACCCCACTTCAGGCCTTTCAACTAGATGCTGAATCATCGGTGACAGCTAATTGAGCACAATGATCCAACCAGCTATGTCTCACCGTACAGTACTCTCATCTAGGCTATATTTCCTTAGTTTGTTTATGAGAATCTTATGGGATAGTGTCAAAAGGCTCGCTAAAGTCCAAGGCATATCATATCCACATGTCTAAAAGGTGGCACTAATACTATTTCTTTTTCTCCAGTGGTCCTGTTTTTAAATAGTCATGACAGCATTTATGAGGGGCCTGATTCTGTCAGTGAATGATTTTAGGCACCTTACTGCATGTGGAATATGGATCCAGCCCAGCCAAGAGATAACAGTTGAAGGCAGCAATGTATTGGGGCTCTGGCAGACATTAGTTTTGTAGTGCTACAAAGTTTGTAGCAGAACAAGAAGAGCAATTAAAAAATGCTTATGTGTATTTATGGCTGGAGAGTGTGCCTCCTCGGGTGGAAGGTGATAAAGTTGCCAGGAAGGTGCACTCTCCAGCCATGAGGTAATGGTGGGACTGGACCTTAACTCCCCAGACCCCAGGGGACCCTGTCAGTGAATTGGGCAGGCTCACTGACTGATTTGCCTAATCACCTATTTACACTATGGCAGCAGCTAATAGAAGCTGGAGACTGTTGCAGCAGCAGGTGATTTCTGGTCTCAGGCTGCCTGTGGGTAGGGAACTTTAGAGGGCAGGCAAGCAGCCTGAGACCAGGGATTAGTGTTGCCTGGAAGCCCTTGTTGCTGCTGCAGCCCCATCGCCATTGCTGGCAGGCAGCAAACAAGAAAGGGCTACCTGGAGGCTGGTCCCCTCAGCTGTTCTCCCTCCATTCCTCCCACTTAGAGAGGGGAAGGGGAGAGCATAGCACTGTGGGAGAGTGCTGGGGGGGGAGGGGAGGGAAGGGAAGGGTCTGTCAGAACTACCCACACATTAAGTTTGTCCCATAAAGATATAAAAGTTGCGTTTTGAAACGGCAACTTCTCAGTTGTAGATCAACCATTTTTGTGTCAGATGAACCACTCTTACTGTGTCAAAAGGCATGAACATGTGGACAGGTGCTTTTTGTTGCACTAAAATAGCTGATGAGGTTGGACAAACATAATACTAAATTGCTCCCCTTTCCTGGACTTAGGTACCTAGCTCAGGGTGCTTGGAAGGCACCTCCCTTTACTTGGGACACAACCTGGGACTCTCTCCTGAAAGACTCTTTTCTTATTTTTCCAAAAAAAAGTAGAAGTACTCTTAGCTCTTAAACGGGGGAGGGGGAGAGGAGGAGGAGGAGGAGGTTGTGGTGGTTGTAGTGGTGGAAGTGTTATCTTTTTATCTAGAAGTTTAGTGGTAAGAATAGTCATCTAGGCATTAGCCTTATGTAGCAGGCTTACCTTCCAGAGGTTGGGCTGAGTCCCAGGCTTGAGACTTGGCTGTTTTGATTGGTGGTGCCCATCCACCAATCAGGAGGCAGCAAGAGAAGCGAAGTCATGCCCCTTTCCTGAGGGGAGGGGGAGAAGAGCTCCTCTGGACCTGGTTGAAGACTGCAACACTGTCAGGTCCGGAAGACTTCAGGGGCGGAGCCCTGGAGAGTATAAAAGGAGCTGCGTGCCCAGCAGGAGGGAGATGCATTGGGGACAGAGAAGAGTGGGACCCCCAGGGTTGTGAAGGGGCACCACATGGGCCGCTCCTGGGTGATGGCGGGGGGGCAAGGGCTTAGGAGTCTTTGGGGTCTCCCTCTTCTTTTCTTTCCCCCTGACCTCCTTTCTTATAGTGATACCTTGGGATTGGGGCCCCTGTCCTGGAGGGCACCCAGATAGTCTAAGGATTTCTTGTTATATCTGTAGACTGTGCCTTTAAGTTTATGTGAATAAGTTGAAGTACTAGTTTGTATATTTATAGAGTTATAAGGTTACCCACTCAATATTCTTTGTTCTGGGTTGTTCTATTGCTCGCTTGTATTTTTGAATAATAATTGTGTGTGTATGTATGTATATGTGTGTATTATAATATATATAAAATGGTATAGGGTTTATTGTTTTGTAAATTTGTACATATCTATGTCCATAATCTGTATAATGTACATAATCAATGTCCTTAACCTTTAATGGATTTGTTGTAATAATACTTTTGTATATAATTAAGTAATTGATTGACTAGGCACCGTCCATCCCTGGAGGGATAGCCTTCCTTTGAAGAAGGCATACAGGATTCCTATTGCCCCTGCCTGAGGGCAATTGGTGACTGAGACCTTCTGATTCCCACTCCCCTGAGCTCCACCTAGACTTCTAGTTTAGGCTTTTTGGAGACAATCTGGTGGGAAAGCAAGAAGCCAAGCTTAGCAAAGGAATTGGTTTACTCTTAAGACGCCCTCTTCTAGTTTGATCTCACCCCTTCCGTGATTGATATAACATTTTAGGTCAGACAGTGTCCTTTCTGTCTTTTCTATGACATAAAGAGTATTTGTTTATAGTGATGTACTTTATCATGAGCACAGAGCAGCATCCTACTGTTAAATAGTTTCTCTTCTCTGAACTCTACGCTTTTGACATTCTGGCTTCATCTAAAAGCACCTGTATAGAAAACCCCCTAATAACCTTTTTGGTGGGCTAACACTTGAGTAAACTTTTGGGTAACAATTCACATTTTCCCAAATAGGTTGCTCAATGTTAGTCCTTCAGTTGGGTGTCAAACACCTTTTCCAGTGCAGGGCAACTGACTGGAGAGTGATACTGCAATACTCTGCCCCAGGGCAAATATAGACATGTGTTAACATACAATATAAGGTAGAATTAATCATTTGATAGATGCATCCCATTGTTATAGTAATAATGTCACAAATCATATTTTCATCCTTTTATTCTTTGATGTTCCCATAGCAACTGTTCCATCATTTTGCATGGAATTAATGTCAGTGTAAACAGCTTACAATCACTGCGGTCAGCTCCCCCCCCCCCCCCCCCCCCAACTTTTCTTTTTTGTTAGCACTAACTCGTCACCCTTTGGAATTTTTCTAGTTTCCAAAATGCATTCAAACAGAAAGCTCCTCAGCGAACTGTATTTAAAAATTCTCCAGTGCAAACTGTCCAGACTTGATTATTTAAAAATGTTCAACTCCTAGCTCGTATAGTTTAATGTTTTCCTTGTTTGCTGTTGGAAAATAAAGCATTTCCTCATCATCTAGCTTGGTTTCAAATATAGAACAGTAATATTTATTGAACACTGACTTATTCTGCATTATTAAAAATTGTCACCCTCTCCATCTATTAACAGACATACTGATGTTAGGATGTCTTTTGTTTTTGATATATATTAAAACTATTTATTGTTTTTATCCTTATGGAGCATAGATTTTTAATTGATACCTTGCCATCTTTTTTTCCCTTTGTATTTATTGACTCAGTATTTCGCTTTGCCATCTATCTACCAGGACACTGAACGTATCTATGTTTAGTAGTTTAGAAAGATAAGTGTGAAAACCCCATAATGCAGAATTCCTTCATTGTAGAAATATTTGGAGCAGATGGATTGAAGGTAGGCACTTGACTTCTGCTTTTTACTTTAAAATCAGTTCTTTGTAACTTCTAATCTGACATGGACTTAAAATGATAGAGCCAGATTCAATGTTATATGTCCAGCTGAAGTGGTTATATCATGCCATTCAACATATGCATTTGTGAATACAATTTCCAAGTGTGACTCAAATCAATTTTGAAGCATGGAGGAGTTGTTGTTTTTTTTTTTAACACTATTTGGTTACATTGCCCATGTTAAAAGCAGGCCCTGAACCCATATTCATATGAGAATACATCTTTTAGTTACCATACAGATTTTGGGGTGCAATTTTAAGTTCTCACTTCTACTTTTGACTTGTAAATTAGCCTAAAAGGTAAGGTGGCATAAAGAGGCTATCTAAAACCTCAGATATGGCTAGGGAAGGGGCAGAAAGGGCATGTCAGTGGTGTGGCCATGCTATATTCTGCCACAGCTTGAGACAGGTTCCATGAGTTAGACAGCCTTCTAGCAGCCCAGAATTAGAAGTATTCAGTAGGGCAAGAGACAGTGAATCTTGTGGATGGATTTCTTATAAAACATCTTTTATAAAATGTCACCCATAAAAATCCTTGCCCCTTGTAATTCCTGGATCATCACAACTACATCTTTCCAACACTACTGAACAAAGGTTCAATAAGCTTGCCTTCTCCTTAAGACTCTGTCAAGAAGTGTGGCAATGGTGTGCTTTTCCCTAGGTTTTTAAAGCTAAGGTCATGTGTAGTGCCTATAAACACTATAGTGGTGTGCCTATTCATGTGCAGCAAGGTGTTGGGTTAATCAAGTCTGCTGGAAACTAAGACTTGTTCAAGTTTTAATTAAAGCAACCCCACCACCATTTTTCCTTGGGAAGGTTGGAAGCAATGCACTGTGGAATCTTGCCAAACTGACCAACTCCCTATTATGGTTTGATGGGGAAGACAAAGCATCATCAAACACAAGAATGTGAAGTGCTTCCGAATTTATCTCTTGTTTAATCCAGGGTAAATTTTGATACAGTTCTGGCTGATCTATAGTGTTTATAGACCTGTGCATTGTCTGCCTGCTAACTTTTTGTAGTTTCAGGCTACTTAAAGTATTATAAATGTTGCACCCATGTAGTGATCTATAATGTGTAATTCTGAAATCAGAACAAGCAACCAAAATCCATTTATTTAGTGTTTTACTCTTTATGTAATCCTTTCTCTGGTTCATTATTTCTTTCCAAATGCGAAGCTCAGTGATATGGATAATCATGAACCTGTGGAAAGTGAGAAGTGCAGTATAATTCAAAGAATGAAATAAAAAATAAATCAGACTATGTATTAGATTGAATACATTTATTTCCATTTCTTCTGCAGTCTAGACTTCATAGGATTTACTCCCTCTTCATCCTTGAAAATCTATTCTACTCAAATAAGGACTGCAGAAGAGGATGCGTATAAATGAGTTGGGTAAGGAAACAATGAGTATATGGATCCATCATGCTTATGTCTGAAATGGTCTTATTGTAATCTCATTAATATCAGTGTATATCAGGAATAACTGTTTCTGAATTAAATGGCGTTACACTGTCATAAATCTAGTGTTTGTGAAGCTAAAATTATGTTTGAAATCCTTCTCAGGTGGTCACATGAGAAAGCATATAAAATGTGCCACTATTTCAGTGGACCAAAACAGTTATTCTTTTCATTAATTATGTGGCTTGGTAGAACTGCCTACTATCAAGGTTGCCTGACACTTCCCCATTTTCAGTTGCTTAGAACTTTAAGACACTAACTGTTTTTTTCAGTTGAAATTTTCGCTGACAGATGCCTGAAGCCAAAACTTATAGTTAAAATGGCTGTTTCAGAGACTAACTACAGGCAAAATAATTGTTCAAGGTAGAGACCTTTTCTTTGGAAAGCTTTATTGTGCCCTCCTGCCCCCTGCTTTGGACTTGGGGATGTGACATTTGGCAAGCAAGTAGCTTTGAGTCAGGGATCTTTTGCCATCTCCATCAAAATCAGTTGAAATTGAAGTAACTTTACAGACAGTTTGCAGGTTCTCAGTAGAGATTTGCTAGTACCCAACAGCTAAAATCTTCGATTCTGTCCTGACTGAGCATGTTTGAGCCTCTGTCAGCTCATAGTGCTGATAAGAGTCCATATGTACAGTCCCCACAGAGCAACTGCCTGGGTGCATCTACATGTGCAATTAATTCAAAGTGTTAAACTCTGGCACATACTGCATTGGAGTTTATTACTCCTGGGTGCTGCATTTGAACATGTGCCTAGGGCAGCAGCAGGCTGAGCTGTGTTGGAGCATCCCTAGCTGGCAAGGGGGGCTGGGGAGTAGGCAGCCCCTGCACTGAAGCACCCTTGTGCCTCAGCCAGCCCTGTCATTATCTACACGTGTGTTGCTGTGCACTAAACTCTGTTGCAGGATAGTGCTTGTATTTACAAGTACTAACCTGCAGCAGAGTTAATTAGTTTTACTCTCTCCTGGTAGGAGTGCACATGTAGACTCATACTGCGGAGCTAATTAGGCAATTCCACCGTAAATGTCTTGTGTAGGCACACCCACCATGTAGCAGCTCAGAGCTACAGGAATAAAACTGGACTTTGTTTTAGTAGCTCTTTCTTGCTTGGAAGGGACCAGTGCCAGAACTAAGAGGGTCTCTGTTTTTGCCATGACCCTCTTACAGCAACAGGGAAGAGAGGAAGCGTTATGATTTTCATGCAAAGAAATAAAAATCCTGATATAGGATGTTGTACAGGTGGCCAGAGAATAGACAATATGGCAAGGAACCTGGGAGATGGAGAGAATGTAGGATGACATGAAATAGAGACTGGAGGGTAAAACGAGGCAAGAGAAGTTCTAGGAACCAGGCAGAGAAATGGGGCGAGGGGGGAGAGATGAAAGGGGACCTAGGATTATATAAGTAATCAGTAGGCAAGAGGGACTTGGACTCACAAGGCAGGGAGACTGGGACTATGAAGAAGACCTGAGGGACTGGAAAGGGGGACGGATCCAACAAATAGCTTGGATTCAGGGAATGAACAGAGGCCACTCCCCCTCTGGTTCCCAAGGCAGGCATGGATGAGAAGCCTGAGGAGGGAGACAGAATGGGAAATGAGAGGAAGAGGAAGGTGGATGTTGGGTGAGATGGATACAAACTGGAGTGGGAACTGTGACTGCCTAGAAAAGAATGGGAGTGAGGAGCCTGAGATGCAGAGTCTGTTGGTATAAGACTATGATCTACTGGTTAACAAGTCTGGGATCACAATTTTAAGGAGGGGTGTTTGGGACTCAGGATGGAACTGAGACCAGGAGCTTATGTGGGAGGTAGAGACAGGACAAAGGCAGGCTATAGGGAATGGATCAGAATAATATATTTCTACTAAAGCCTACTCCAGAGCCTGGAGTAGAACCCAAAGGTGCCCAAGTCTTGCCATTCCTCATTTTGTTAGCAAGCACCTATAAAATCTATTGTCAGAGTGTCTCCTGCTTGTAGTGATGCTTCATATACTCAAGTGTCAGAGGTCTACACAGTGGATCTAAAGATTGCATCCCTGCTAGTGAGCCAGCATAGTACTATAATACCACATAATAGATGGGTTTTTTTACTGGCTTTTTAAAAACTGTAGACATTGTATGAGGGAGGTAACTCAACCTTTTATTGCAAGACCTTATCTTTGAAGCAGGGGTCCTGTGTGAATTTCAGCACACAGGTGGGATAGTGTTCAGTTAAACAGTAGCTATTAAATGTTTGTTTTCTCCTTATTATTCAATGTGTGACACTGCCTTTTTTACTGCATGCTGTTCAAACCATACTCTGTATTCAGAATTATTAATATCTGCTTGAGAACTTTAGCTTGGCATTTCCTATAACTTCTGGATTCATGAATTTGAATGGGGGAGGGGGTTGCATATAAAGTTTGTCTAAATTTATAAACTCATTTAATTTTTATCTAAAGTGTTGTTTTTTGCCCATCTAAAGCAAAAAACTCAACTACATGTGACTATCTAGAGAGACAGAACCAAAGAGCTTGACAGCTAAAAGGTTTGGGAGGGCAATACAGCAGTACACAGGAAGTCTAGGAAGTTTTTGAAGAGTGTTGGCGACACTTTCCTGGTGCAAGTGTTAGGGAGACCAACTAGAGGCCATGCTTTTCTTGACCTGCTGTTAACAAGTGGGAAAGAATTTTGGGGGGATGTAGTAGTGGATGGCAACTTGGGAAGCAGTTACCACAAGATGATTGAATTCAGGATCCTGTCAAAAGAAAGAAAAAGCAGCAGAGTATGGACCCTGGACTTCAGAAAGCAAAATTTGATTCCCTCAGGGAACTGATGGGCAGGATTGTCTGGGAGGCCAGTGTGACAGGGAAAGGAGTCCAGGAGAGCTGGTTGTGTTTTAAAGAAACCTTACTGAGGGCAGTAAGAAACCTTCCCAATGTGCAGGAAGAATAGCAAATATGGCAGGCGACAAGCTTGGCTTAGCAGAGAACTCATTGGTGAGCTTAAACACAAAAAGGTAGCTTACAAGAAGGGGCAATGCCTAGAGGGTGCACATGGGTGCAAATGCACCCCTGAGTGTGGTGGTGCACCCCCTACAAGAAGGCACCGGTGTTAGTGTTGGCGGCGCTGGTGGGCGGTCGCTGCTCACCACCCCGCCGCCGACACAGCCGGTGGTGTCTGCGGTCAGTCCACAATCCACGCTGGCTGCTGCTGATGGTGGCTGCGGGTGGTTGCTGACCCTTGGTCGGCGCTTGCCATCCCCCCCACCAGCTGCCGATTGTACCAGAGGCATCTGCAGGAGCTCCCCTGCTTATCACCACTGCCAAGCTCCCACCGCTGCCATGCTCCCCCAGCTTCCAGGGGCATGTGCTGTTCATGCTTACAAGAATGGAAGCTTGAACAAACAACTAAGGAGGAGTACAAGAATATTGCTTGGGCATGCAGGGATGAAGTTGAGAAGGCCAAAGCACAACTGGAGTTGCAGCTAGCAAGGGATGTGAAGGGTAATAAGAAGGATTTCCACAAGTATGTTAGCAACAAGAGGAAGGTCAGGGAAAGTGTGAGTCCTTTACTGAATGGGGAGGCAATCTTGCTCCTTGTCCTGGGCAACTCAGAGTGGAAGTAACCAGTGGCCAGGCTGGGCCAGGCATATGTGATGCAGTGGGCCATGGCTGCCAGGTACTGGGCAGGGTGTGGAGCACATGGCACAACCACACTGGAGCCATGGGAGCAGCCAGAGCTGCCAGTGGCAGTGAGTGGAGCTGGGCATGGTGCATGGCCAGGACCTGCTGGCAGTGGAGCAACTCTAACACAGTCAGGTCCTGGCTTGGCTCAGCTATGATTCTGTGAGTTTGCTGGGTGGGTGCCACTGCAGCCGGACTGATCTGTGGTGAGGTGAAGGGCCACACCCAGAGTTTGGCTCACACCTCACATGCCTGGTGGGCAGCAGCGATGCACCCTGCACAGCTGGCCCCAGGCTCTGGCTCCAGTGTGGACCTGTGGGCTGGGGCAGCTGGGGCTCCTTCTCCAGGCTGGGGCAACATGTCTTGCTTTGGTTCCTGTTCCTGTTGTGCTGGCTGGGGACGGAGCCTACAGCTGTAGGCCAGGGGTGTAGGCTGTGGGGGGGCCCAGGCCTAGGGCCCCAATGAATCCATCACTGTACAGTGCCTCAGACCCCTAACAATTTTCTTTGCCCTCTGCTGGACCACCCTCCAGCTTGTCCATATCCTTTCTGTAGTGGGGAGTCCAAAACTGGACACAGTACTCCAGATGTGGCCTACTAATGTAGCCCAGTATGCCATTAGACTACTTGGCAACAGGGCTATACTGATTCATATTCAGCTTGTTGTCCATTGTAACCACCAGATCCTTTTCTGCAGTGCTGCTACTTAGCCAGTTGGTCCCTCGCCTGTAGTGGTGCATGGGAGAAGCAATGGTCTCAAGTACAAGAGTCCACATGTGCATCTGCAAGCCAAAGCACAGGTGGAAGATCTAATTTTAGTTTTGCCAGTCTTGTCAGTGTCCCTTGTGAAAGCAAAGTTTATCTTGTTCTGTTTCATACAAAGAAAGACTTCCTCTCAACCTGGAGAGGGAGACTATACAAAGACTCCCTCTTGATCTGGAGGTTTTCTTAACATAAACCTCAAGGCCAGGAATAGAGCCACGAACTTTGCTTTTTAGTGTTTGACTCTCTTCAGTGATGTTACCAGGCAGAAGATGCATGTAATATGGTATTTTATTATGGAAGGTATAGTAGAGCAGGAAAAGGAGCCTAGTGCATTATTACTCCTGGAGTGCAGAGCTCAAACAATAAATAGTGGCTTAGTTTTATTTTTTTTCCAGCTACCAGGAGAACTCTAGCAATTCTAGCTGAACACCTGCAGCTCCTGATGATTGCAACCATAAAAAGCAGGCTGTATATCTTTGGGGTTTTTTTTGATCGGGTGGGTGCTTT